AAATTGCAGGTTGTTGCGAGGGATTTTGGACAACTGAATTATGGTGAATTGAGCTGGGTTCGATGGAAACTGTTCCACCGATGCTGGGTTCGGTGGAACCCAAGTTGGGTTCCGGTGAACCCAGCTCAACTTTTTTTTTGTTATATGTTTGCTTATAAAGAGATTATCCAAATTACAGGTTGTTGTGAGTGATTTTTGGGATTTTTTTCTTCTTATTTTTGAAGTATTGTTTAAATGATTTCAATCTTAAAAATGGAAAGAATATCGTCGATGGAAGGAACAGAAACAGTAATCAATGGACAGAAGCAATTCTTCGTCGATGGAAAGAACAGAAACACAGAAACAGTAATCAATGGATAGAAGCAATTCTTAGTGGTGATGTGTGGGACCCACTTGAACGGATTTGGCTTTTTTGGCCACAGTAGCATGACATGGCAAAAGTTTTTGTGCACGTCATCACTTTTTTAAATTTTGCCCTCCACATCATCAAAAAAAATATAAAAAATGACACGTAAGCAGAGTTAACAGTCCAATTTAACAAAAGGACTAACGGAGTGCATTTCGTATAGTTGAGGGATCAAAAAAGTGCAAAAAATTGTTAAGGGACCAAAAATGTGCAACTCACTAAAGTTGAGGGACCAAATCTAACATTTAACCTTCTTTTTGTGCATTTAAAATATGGAGTTAGTGTTCGTCCTGTTTTATTTTTAAAAATTAAAAAAAAATTATTTTAATATATTTTTAAAAATAAAGTAATTTAATTTTTTTAAATAAAAATTTATTAAAATGATATAATTTTAAAATAATTTTTTTTAATCTTTCAAAAATAAGATTCACAAACACTTTTTTCTTAAAATATATGTTGAAAGTTGAAACGCAATGCAATTTTATATGAAAAGCAGGGGATTCTTCTTTATTACCTTTCTTTTTAAAAAGCAAAAGATGCCAATAAGACATATGAATGAATGCGAAAGGAACCCTCCAAGTTGAAGAAATTTCAAAGGTATGAAATCGAGAAATTCATGACCAAGAATAAAATAAAAATAATGAAATTCGATGGAAAAAGTCTAAAGCTAAGAGATTGCATATCTTATCCCTTTTTCTTTTGATTTTTTTTTTTTTTGTAAATCTTTTAACTTATACAATAAGGATGTATTAATTATTTATTTTTACGATAAAAAGAATAGAATTCAACGTTGTAAGTGGGAATCCAAGAAGGCAAAGCAATTTTCATCTTTCCTATGGATGCAATACAGGTTGTTGTTCATTTCCTCGCGTGCTCTGAGAATTAATTACTCTATTTATTTAATTTTAGTATTCTTAATTTTATTT